TTACTTCCAATTAAGCAGCACACACTTATTGCATTTATTTGGCATTAAGCAGGCACATGTGTTCCTTTAGCTCCTGCCAATGCGAGAAGACAATACCCTTACGGTGAACCAGGCTATTTGTTCAGTGGGTATTAGGCTCTGGGAAGTGTCCAAGAAAGCTGATGGAAGCCTGCAGGTGTGTGGTTTCAAATGCCTTCAAAGTGCTTCATGCCCAAGTCTTCCAGAAATGTTACACTTCATAATCATCCTCTTCCAGTAAGATTTATGCTGTGTTTTGAATATTTCTAATACTCTGGAGTCTGAGTGCCAGAAACCTCTATTTATCAGGCTCGGTCACTGGAGAAGTTGCTCATGTCAAGGATCATATATAAACCCATTTATGCATAAGTCATTATTTATTCTATACAAACTACTAGAAGCAGGTGTGATTTCAGTATGTTTGCTCTGAATGTGAATTAGTTTAACAGACTAAAGTTTCATCCAGCACATAAGCCTATTGCTTTAAGACTATCAATAAGGAGAAAACGAGAACAAGTTTTAATGGCATGTTTATATATATAAAAAAAATCAGCATCCTTTCACTGTGATATGTGTACAACAAAATTCAGTACAATTTTGAGATACATCCCACATATTCTTTGAAGGGGAGGTTACAAATTCACAAAGAAATAATATTGCTATGCAAGTGCTTATTAAAGGCAATAAAAAGAACAGAATATACAATTTATGCCCTACAAGGTTGAGATTCACTGTTTACCACTGGAAATTGCTCTACACAGCATTAGAATTTAAAGCTTTGACCCCGCAAAAGAATTAGTGGGCACAGTCGCAGCTCATACATGGAGCTGCTGCAGTCAACCACTGGTCAAGGTGCAGGAAAAGTCCTTCAAGAACTGGGCTCTGAGAAGGTTTGTGGTCTAAATATATAAAAAAATTAACTCAGGGATGGGAGGATGGAGGTTTCTTGGTCCACCAGTTCTCTCAAGGACCCTTCCTAAACTTTTTTTTGCTCTGATAAGAAGCTAAACTCTTAACAGAAACGTTATTTGCTACTGTTAGATCAACACTATGAAGCCACAATGGCTTCAAAATGTATCTTTGGCTCTTCTGGAAAGGACATAAAGGTACAATTTCCATGTTTGTCCCATTGGCAACTCCTGATACTATGATAGTTATTACTTCCACAAACAGAAATCTGCAGCCAATCAAAATAATATGGTTGGCAAGAAATCTGGGCAAACTTTAATAGCTAGGGTTCTTCAACATAAAAAGGATAAAAGTAGAATAATAATTTTTGGCAGGGGAAGCAGGGAATTTTTAAAATTCTGATTGTTTTCCTATGAGGATAGTGTTATAAATACTGAAGTCAAACTTAAAACATGTTGTTCTGGTTTCATGAATTCACGTTGAGTAAGATTCTGCTGGACTCACTGAGTTACACTCAACCCATTTCTACTCTTCTCAAACTGAAGTTAACTGGAATACACAACAAGGGAAGAGAGTGGGATTTGGCACATGGTTGAAATAATTTAAATGTCTTTCTGAAAGGAGTTATCTGTGCATGGAAGTGTGTTATAGTGGAATACAAAGAGCGCCCTTTTCAAGAAAGCATAATTAACTTCAGCCTTCTGGGAAATGGAGAGCCAAGAAAGGCATTTACCAAGTAGAAGATGGACATAAATTTAAATATAAAAGCCATTTTCACCAAAGTTTTCACTTTCATTTTCAACAAGTTCCAGTTCTGTGTTCAGGACAGTATCAGCCTGACAGTCTTTCACTGAAATCTGATGAAGCAAATAAGCAGAGTTATATTATTTTAGTAGCAATTATGCTCACTTGACACAAAATTAATCTAGGGAAAAGCTGATTTAGCATCTTTTCCATTAAAAAGTCTATGTTGTCTAATCAAGACTATTTTGTAGGCACAGAATTAGGGAAATTTGTTAATCTGCAGTAAGGAGCAGAATCAAAACATATTAATGACATCACAAGCAAGTAAACTTCCTTAACTAATAGCTAATGAGGTAAAGTTTTGGCTCGTCTTCTAGAAAACAATATCTTGTAAACATTTTCCCTGCCTTGTGAAAAAAGGGAAAACCCCAAATAGAGAACCAAGAAAAGACATCCAAAACTACCTCAATCAAAAATCCATTTTAAAATATTTTTTAAATATTTAATTTTGATTTTTACTTGTATATGCTCGTACCTTGTTTTGGAACAAAAAGTCCTATTGAGCCCCGAATCAGAATGATCTGTTTAATGGCACTGAAGTGAACTCCTTTCCCTAAGGCAATAACATAAAGAAGCCAAGAAGTATTTTGAAGGAGGAATGAATAAAAAAAGACTATTGCATGTGAATGGTTTGTCATTTTCCAATTTAAAAAAAAAAGTTTGCTGAATGATTTCCCAGGCAGATCTATGTGGGCCTCTAATTTATTGGCACAAGCTCAGTATCGGTCACTTAAAATATGTGTTTCATCATGTACCTAACATTGTGACATTATCTAAAAATACTTAATACAAAAATCTTTTATTTCCTTTATACTACATATTTACAGTTCTGTTATCAAGGTACTGTGGAAAATGTAAACATGTATACACAGGTGTAAATAATATGGCTTGAGAAAGGTTTCCCCTTTGATTAGCTGCTCTAATCGTGGATCAGTATACATAGATAAGAAAAAAACAGTACATTTTATAAACTGCTGTTAAACAGCAAAATGTAAGTCCTCGGGTTTTATGCATTAGCTGCTGGAGTAACTGAACCAGTCACTGGGCATCTCTTCCTAAACTGAAATGTCCCACATACTGGAACGGGCCAGTGGAGGGTCACTGAGGTAATTGGGGCTGAGGGAGCAGGGTTTGCTCAGTCTTCAGAAGAGAAGACCAAGGGGAGGTATTACTGCTGTCTTCAACTACCCCATGGAGGTTTGTAGATGAGATGAAGCCAAACACTTCTCAGAGATTTCCAAAGTTGAAACTTTGGAATTTCTGATTAGAAACTAGGGGAAAAAAAAAAAAAAATCATGAGCAGGAAATTTTCACTGAGACAGGGGCTCAAAGAGGTGGTGGGATCTCCATCCTTGGCAATATTCAGAACTCAACTGCATGAATCTCTGAGCAATTCCATTTAACTTTGAAGTTGACCAGGCTTGAAGAGAAGCCTGGACCTCCAGCAGTCTCTTACAATTTAACTCACTCTATGATTCTATGAAAAATCTTGAACATAATGCAACTCTTGCATTACTATTATGGTTTGGCTCAGTGGTAAATACACAGTTAAGATCAAAATACGTCAGTTGCTTAACTTGGATCGTTCTTCTTCAGTAGTTTATAAGATTATATCTAATTCTCTCACACAAGGTCTACCTTATAGGTTCCTATTCAGTGAAATTGTCCCAAATTCATGTAATTGTAGGAGCAGACCCAGGGCATCACATCTCCAAAAGAACATTTAAAATGTCACAGCTGACAGTAAAGCCTTGCTGAGAGTCACACACTTCTGACTAGTTTTGGGACATTTTTGCCACATTTACATTGACTAAACTTTCCAGTGACCATTCATGGAACTCTAAAGAAGAAATGACAAGGGATCAGCATCAGCCCCTGTGGTTTTCTGGTGGAAAGCACAGTTGGTTAATTAATTTTGACACGTTAAATACCCTTCTGTGTTTAGGATGACTTTCAATACCTATGAAGTGATGAATAATAACAATAAGAATTCCATGAAACTTGGAAAATACCTACCAAACCTGTATTGCTTCCAATAGATCATAGTTTGAATTAAACTCCCAGGTGTGCAAGCATCACTTGGTTTGTACTGGAGAGTTAATGACTGTAGATGTGTTTAAGACCTGAGGTGAACCACAGGGTAAAACTCTTACTTTGCCTACTCATTATCCAACCGCAACAACAAACAAGATCTTTAAAAACCACAAGTTAACATCAATTATTTTCACTTTGTCTCTTCTAAGACCAAAATCTTCTCTTACAGAGTTGCAATTTGTTATGATGTGTGAATGGTGTGAACACAAGACCTGGAACTGCTTGTACTACCACGTCTACTGAGCCCATGGTCCTGACGCCCTTTAATAAGTGCACTTTTGATATAGTCAGACTCAAGAAGTTACTGCATAGATTTTATAACTCCTAACCTAAAGAGAGGTATAATGAGGCACTTTGAAATCTTTTAGTCTGGTTAATTCAGAATATTAAAATAGAGAACATTATTTCCTTATAATGACATAGTCCTATATTAAAGAACAATCTGTCTAAACAGACAAAATAGCACCAAAATGTCTTTGTTCTATTAAGTGACCAACAGCACCCGTAGAATGGCATCAGGTCTTAAACTGACTTAAGCAAACCATTGTGCGGTAAAAATCATATTATAAAATCCTTTATATAAAGAGCACAGAGATCATCTTTCAACATCTATCCTTGCTTACTATCTGCTTTCTCCATCCAAGACAAAACTCTTTTCTGTGTTAGAAGGTACTGTTTGATTAGAACTGCTGCACAGTTTGACTTCACAAACCACTGAGAAACTCAACTGACAAGACGGGAGAATGCAGAAAGCTGGAAGAGTCTGAGAGATGACACCATGCTCTTTGGGAGATGGATTCAAACATAAGCAAGATGGAGACCTTCCAATCAGTCAATCCACACTAGAAATGTGGTACATATTCTTAAATTAATTAACAACTTATGGAGGACTCTGGTGGATTCTTCTTCAGTTGCAAGTTTGAAATTAGACTGAGTGCTTTACTAGAACACACAATGTTATTCAAAGAGGAATTCATCTGGTGAATCCCACTAGTTCCTGTGCAATGTGATTTTGCAGCGAATCCATATTGGCTTCATAATCCGTGAAACACTCATTAAACTTCATGCTGGTTGTCAAGTGGGTTGAGGAAGTCACTTATACGTGGTGTGGCTCACTGCAGGTTGATATGTTACATACTGCTATCCTGATACTTTTTGGAGCTGGTCTTATTAAACACATGTCCAAACTTTCAAACAATTAATTATGTATCAAAAAAGAATGTCCAGAGCAGATTAATGGAAGGGTAAGAGACTAGGAATAAATACATGAAACAGATTCGACTTTTTAAAAGGATCCAGCTACTAAATAGCCTCTGTAGTCTTCCATAAGAAGTGTGAATACTTCAGTACAATTCAAGCTGAATTCAACTGCTGTTTTCATATCCAAATTCAAATACCGTCTGTGCATATAAAACAGTTCATTTATTAGTCCAAATGTTACTGTTGTAGAGCTCTTGGAAAAATATTCCCTCTTTCTTGAGTTTGTTCTTCATAAAAAGGAAGCTTTGGAGGGCCACCTAGAGAATTAAGTAGAAACACAGTTTCAGGTCTATATAACATAATACTGAAATATTATCTAGATTATACAATTTACACTTAAATAATTCAACAAATGGTACTCTTCAAAAGAAGGCAGAGGACTGAGTTACACTGGCCTCCTCACAGAGGCAGAGAACAGGCAAAACAATCAAACATCTCTCAAATGCAAGGTTCCCAAAGTGTTTCCTAAACTAAATGCAGGATAGTACAGTATTGCTACCAAGCAAGTTGTGATTAGACTACACTGGGAGGAAACTTTCACTCAGTACTAGATCTCATTAAGAAGAGAAATTATCTAAACAAACAAACAAACAAAAACCCCAAACCCCAAACTGTTTTATGATTGTGTGATGAGTGCTTTAGCACGCTCACAAATCAATCTAAATCTTTTTTCTGATTTTTCATCTACTTACCCAGCTTATCACACCTCACCATGCTCTTCAAAACCTGGTACCTCTACAGAAAGTAAGCAAACGTGATGGCACGTACAGCAAGTAAATCTCCTTATTCCTCTTACAGAGGTTGTGGAGATCAACTATTTCAGGGCAAGATTTCCTACTGTCAGGCATAGAAGAATGTATTGATCTCCAGTACAGCTGTGCTGGAGGCAGTCTCATGAATCCTTGATCTGTGCAAGATCTCCACAGCCTGTTCTGAGGGGAAATGACTGCACTGAGTCAGTTCAGCTTGGCCAAGAGCTCACAACCACCTAGAATGACTCTTTGCACTTGCAGAGTCCACTGGCATTTGCACCATCAGGCACCTGGACCCTTAGCAGGACATCATACACCAACACAACGCTCTCAAGCAAAGCTGTTGGTATCATCTTTGCACTTGCAGAGTCCACTGGCATTTGCGCCATCAGGCACCTGGACCCTAAGAAGGACATCACACACCAACACAACCCTCTCAAGCAAAGCTGATGTTATCAGGCTCTGAGTTTTTCACCAGAGATGGAAATGAGCTTCTGCCTCACACAACCCAACACAGAAACTGTGGTGGCTACTGCTGAGCACCACGTTTGCGTGGTAGGTTGATACTCCTGTCCAAATGGTCCACTGACCACCACTGTGGTCAATGCATGATTTCTTCTACTAAGAAAGGCTGCACATCTCCAGTTTGTGTTACCTTCTTTGCAGGTTGGCCCCATCCACGTGGCTGGGCACACACAGTTCCCGTTGTATGGATTGCACTGGGATTTGCTGGCACACTGGCATCGCAGGGAGCAGTCGGGGCCGTACCGGTCTGATCTGCAGTCTGGAAGAACAGGAGTGTTTGGAAGAGAGTGAATGTTCACTAGTAGTCTCCTTGTTCTCCAGGATCAGGAGGCTACTTAGACACCTACATCTGTTAACACTAAAACATGACATTTTGGAAAGCCTTGCAGTCTTCAAGTTTCGTCTACCACATGGTCTGCCCAAACTGTAGCCCAGCTGTCCTAAAGAAGTTCCCACAGAATGGAAATCATTACTGGTGTAAAAACAGGGGTTGACAGCCCAACAGCAAAGATCTTGGGATCTGCTCAGGAAAGTTACTGTCAGCATCCTGGATCCACTACTATCCCCTGCACCTCCCCACTGCACGGTTTGGCTGTCCGTGTGAGCCAGCAAAGAGCCTTCGCTCAAAGAATGTGAAATTTAAAATTAATCCATTTTATATATACACTCTTATGTCTTGCACAGTTCTGCTGCCTCCTGGCAAATTAAACTCACAAAATATCTCACTCCCAAATGCAAATACATTTCATACCTAGGCTGATCGATTCTCATTGCAATTTTTTTTTAATGCAGAGTACAAGCATGAAAGAAAAGTTAGCAGCAGGTCACAACGCAGGGTGCTAAATACACCGTAAACAATAGCCCTCTCTCCCTCACCTCGCTAGAAAATATTGTAAATAATGAAGGCGCTCACTTTCTCACACAGGCACCATTAGGTAAATAAAAGTGCTGCTGAGCCCCACGTCAGCTGCAGCCCCAACACGTGGGAGAACTCTCCCCGTGCGCTCAGAGCTTGGCCTTTTCAATTAGGAAATGTTATGAGAAAAGGTCTCCCCGAACACCTCTGGACCTGATTTTAATTTATGTAATACCACATTTTCATGTTAATAACAATGTGTATTTAAGACATCTGTTTGAAAGTCTGCAATGTTAATTCACTACAGAAAAAGAGCGCCCATAAAAGTCTGTTATATTCTCTCTCTTTTTTTTTTTCTATTTTTTTTTTTTTTTAATTAACATTTTGCCTGTTTAATGGGTGCTTTACCAGAGTTCAAATTAAAATCAGGCCTTTTATCTTTATGGCTGCTGCACAGTCACAGCTGCTCGCAGTTATACACAGATGAACTGAGCCTAATTGAAAATAAAAATGCAAATAAAACCTGCCCCATAACAGCTTTTCATGGACGGGGTCTACACTCGCTGATTTAAGAAAAATAAAAATGACTCCTAAAGTTTGCAATGCAGTTCACATTTTTGGTGCTGAGCTTCCCCCTTGCGTTCTACTTCTACTTAAAATGTTGCTGGAAAGGTCTCTGGATGCCCAGTGCCATGCTGGCTGTGGGGGTGGCTGGTGTCCCCGTCAGATTAGTGCCTGCAGACTGGGTGGCTTTGGTTTCTGACCACAGGACAGTGCAGGGAGGGAAGGAAATAATTTTCCATTTTCATTTTGCAGGTTGCACTAGCACTTAAACTCCCCAGCAATTACTTTGTATTAATGACAGGCTGTTTAAAGCCATTTCCTGCCCTATCCTAGAACAAAAGGAGAAATCGTATTCCCTCACTGTGGTTTGGGGGCTCGGGAGGATTATGGTTCCTGGTGTGAACCTCCAACAGCAGCACATGGATGTTCACTCCTTTTATCTTGTTTGCCACAGTGTTAGGATCATGAATCTTCTCTTACACTTGTTTAAACCACTGCAATTCATTTAACTTCAGTGATTACCTTAAATTTACTCCACCATAACTGCAATCAGAGTCTCACTCAAGAATCTGGCCTGCCACTGCTGCTTCCCAACCCCACAACCAGTTCATCAGGGTACAGAGGTGGGACTGTTTTTTTTCTACAGGAGAATTTTCTCACCTATTTTTATACCCTTGTTACAAAATAATCCTGCTCTCGTGGGCAAACCATTTCTCAAAGACACAGCCCAAGTGCCTGTGCTGCAAACGAGG